ATCTTCTGTAATTTAGTGAAATCTCTTGCTTGAGAATAACTTGTTTTTATACCAGTCAATCTGGCATCCTATGCAAGTTATGTGTTAGGCCAATTCTTCGATCCCAGTTAGCCTCTTATATATATATGTCGGACAGCCTACACCACATATATATTAAGACATGAGCACGACTCTACAATATCTTTATCTGAAGAAAAGAACAGAAAGAGAATTTGTCAAGAAGATAGTTATTTTTTATATATTGTTCTATCGTCCCAATATCCAAATAATTTATCAATATTTTTTGAGAGCTGACAGGATTATAGCATATATCTTGCCAAAAATAAATAATTTGCCTCACCTTATTTAATACTATTCTTAAATAGTTGTCAATTAGGCGCAATGGAAAATCGATCTCAACTGAAATTTTCCTTAATATTTTACTTTTCTGATCTCGTTGATTAATATATGCAGGAAACTGACCTATGTTCAGTATAGATTTATTCATTCTTGCTTCAACTCCATTAATATATTTTGAAAATAAATCCAGAAGAAACCACGCATCTTGATTTATATTTAGTAAATGGGACATCCAAAAGTAGAATACTACGAGCTTTTTCTTACTCCATGGCAGCTCCATTCTGTTTAGCTATTCTATTTATTAACTTAAAAAAGTTAGCCATACTCTATTTACCGTATTGCCAAACGCCGAAATAGTCATCCAGATACTTCACAATTAATTTAGGACTAAGATTGCTTCTTTAGATAGACGACCCTCTAAATAAGCCAAGTAGCTATTCTCAAACAGTAACAGAAATTAAGATGTCGAAGCTAGGCCTCGTACGCGTTTATACAATTTTTAATATTAAAAATACCATCTTGGTGAGCATTTTATTGATAAAATCTCTGGTTATTGATGCAATGTTGATTCTAGAGTTTATACTGATCGGCTTACCGCAATGCTTATGTAAATCGACACTAACTCAAAACTCAAAAGCAAATCCCTGTCCTCTATAATCTGCGTATCCTTTAACTTAACGAATTTACGGGCATTCCTTACTGAACATTGCTAGATCTCGGATATTTGCCTTAGTTACTAATAAATAAATTGAAATCTTTTATGCATCATGAAACCTTTATTATTCCAGATATCTAAATGGGACTTTTTCTTTGCGTATTTTTAGCAGAAAATATGCATTTGGAGGCTTGGAACCTTGTTAAAGAGGTGTGTTAATTTTCCATTTATCCAGGCAGCTCTTGGGCATAGACATCAGGATTTCTGTATGCCGTTTTGTCTGTCCTTAGTAAAATATGATCCTTGTCTATTAGGTTCCTTAGAGTATTATTCATTTTCTATATATAGGTAATATTTCCTAATTTTTATCACAGAGGAACAACTTTTAACTCATTGTCACTCCTAGTCTGCTCTAGGAAACAGTTGATTTTCGTGGTTTTGCCCTTTCAAAATAAATGAAATGTATGCCAGTTATGGGTTTTACTACAAATACCCATTTTTTAGCCTCACTATTTTGCAACGTAAATGTCAAATTAATCCTTGGTGAATTTTCTTAGAGAATGATCTCACGCTCTGATAAACCTTGTAAAATTACAAATACAAACTCAGCATGGGTTTACCGGAATCGGATAGCGTGCTGAGAACCTTTACGCACAAATTTGCAGTCGCAACTCCAAGACTATTCATCGTAGGTTTATGGTCAGGCTAGTTTACATATCTCTTCGACTCCCCCTTTCAAACTAAATAAAAGGTACAAAAGAATAACGCTATCAAATGATTCTGGGTAAACTCTCTCTTTCTCTCTCTCGCTCTCTCTATATATATAGTGGATTCGACTTAAGTAAAACTGAAAATGAAATAAAAAGGCCGTGGTATATAACTAAAAATTCAGGAAAAGACAGCCTGACCAAAAATAAGAAAAATCATTAAAATCATTAAGTTACTTTTGAGGCTAGGGGCTGCCGCTTTCCTCTCGCATTCGCTGAGCCACGATTAGAAAGTCTTGCATGCTGCTCCTTGCAAAAAGGGATATGGCGTTCAGCCGCTTTCTCGCTAAATCTTCTTTGACAATACTCGCACTGAATGTGGTCTAAGGCAAAATTTTAGCAAATCGCACGTTATGTAGTGTATTAGAATTTGAAGTCAAGGCAAAAACTTAAAAAAGGGAGGCTCTATTGTTTAAAAAGAAAAATACCTTACCGGGATTAATTGTCGGTGGGGGAGGGGGGGGAGGTGGAACGCCTCGACTAACCGCCGAATTGTATGCTTTAGCGGCGTGTATGGTGCGAATAAATTCCTCGTGTTTAGCTCGCCAATTATGCTTTTTAGATACAGCTTGAAGGAGCCTAGGATCGTTGACACTACGTTGGGCAACGCGATGTGGTTTGTAATCTCTATCGGACACCTGGTCATTGGTAATAATTCTCTGTTTGCCACTATCAAACATTTTGCGTTTCTTCTTGGAAGTTTTCATGCATATCGGGGCATGACGAACCTAGATTGATTTCATTTGTAAAATATAGTAAACATTTTTTTATTAAGAAATAATAAAGTTGGTGCAAAGAAATTGCATCACGACATAGGAAGGTTTAATTAACTTAAAAGTATAAGGCAACTTCCTAGTATTACTAGCTTCGATAATTTTAGGTTACATAGAGTACAATTGCCTTGATTTCCAAAAATTCGCCTATATCTATTACTTATTACGACAAG